GCAACCGTTAACAGGAATATTTTGGAAATGTATTTACTTTTGTTAATTGAACTTAATCCTAAGTATGAGGTAGATTTCGTACTAATGTTGGTGTTACCTTGCGTGTGTATAGTCAAAGTTGTGTTGTGGTTGAAACATGCAGCTTCGGGGAATCAAATCCTAAGAATTGGCTTAGTTTTGAATTGCAAGACAGAAACACCGCACTCTAATAGTGTACCAGTAAGGTCCAATATAATGATTCCTCAGTTCTCCTGATCTAACTCCAAATGACTTTGTCCTCAAGTGTTGTGTTGGACGATGTTTGTGGGGGGGGGGGGCCCCCCCCCCCCCCCAACGGTCCGTCGTAGTACAGGAAATCGGTGGGAAGAAATGCAGATTAAATGTCCATGTAGTCTGCTTTCGTTCTTTGCAATTTATCGGCGTCTTTCTGAAGAATACAGAAGCTCGGAGTTCAAAATGTCATACAACGAAAACGTGCTATGCGGGTTTGCAGCTTAAGTCTTTACTTTCGTATATCACTCACTGCCAGAACTTTGCCATTTCATTAAAGCCACATTTAATGATTCACTGCTATGACCTCTGTCTTCTTGGCAGTGGTGACCATGTGAAAAACAAATGAAACATCACCACTCTTTGTGTATATTGTAATCCTTTCAGGGTCCGCAGCGGCCGCGCGTTCTGAGGCGTGTGCCGCTTGGTCGCTGGGACCGTGGGTTCGAATCCCACTCAAGCCATGGATGTTTGTCCGCGTTGTCCTGTGTCGTGCTGTCCTGTGCACAGGTAGAGGCCTTGCGACGGGCCGATCCCTCGTCCAAGGAGTCCTACCGAATGTCTATAGATCAAGCCAATGAAAAGTTGGGACCCGCAGTGCTCAGGCACTTGAAGAACGGGTCGTTCCCAGTATCCCAGTAATCCTTCCACATCTAGATATGCTTTTTTCCCCTCTCCAATACATATTTTGGATGAGACACTGCGTTCTGTGTCACTACTGTATTGTGAGTGTCATCTAAAAATTGTCTTACTAAGGAGTAATTTATTCTAAATCAGAGGAAATGTGAAGATTATGTTTCTGGCCTTAAGTCTGAAAGTGTTAATTACAGACTACTTTAATAGGACTAGCATAACTTGCTTTTTTTCATAGTCTTCAAAAGTTAACAGTATTTTTTTTGAGAATGAGTATTAAGGTCAAGAAATTTTGTCTTACTTTAGGTCTTTTGTTCTATGAGGTCCTCATGCTCATTTAATGTTGTTCTCTTTATTTAAGAAAGTTTCTTTGCAGGAAATATTGGAACAAGTGACAGTTCTTAATCTGGATACAGGAGAGCGTGTTCCGCTAAGTATTGCCGAGGACAAATTACCTCAGTGCATCAACCCACTCTCTTTACATATTATGCGACTCACATCTGAGTATGTGAGCAATCCAAGCTTAGAAAAGGGAAAAGAATCAGATGAGGAGAGCATGGATAGTAAGAAGTTAGAGGTACCGACCGGTGAGGACGTTGATGTTAATAAAATTAGTCGTGCAGCACAACTGAAAAAGATGTTTGGCTCAAAATTGAAGAAGACGATGAACAAGGCAAAATCAATCGCTCAGGAGGTGTCACATGCTCGGCACAAAGAAGACATTATGGATATCGTGGATGACGTTTATCCGGAGGAGCAATATATTAAGCTGAAAGCGTCTGGAAGTCATAAGGGCCCTTACGAATTTGATAGCCTACAGCATGTTCAAGATCTTGGTGGAGAGCATGTCGGCCCAGTTTGGTGCATGAAATTTTCGTCTTGCGGACGGCTCCTGGCCACAGCCGGCCAAGATCGAGTCCTACGTGTGTGGGTAGTGCGAAATGCCTTTACCTACTTCCAGGTAATTATGGGATTATATATTCAGCTTTATAAACTTCCTTGTTTGATAAAGTTGCCCGAGTTTTTAAATTTTGACACATTCCATGAATTATTGCAATATATGATGACTACAGTAGACTTGGATGTAGGGTGATTCCCCTTCGCACTGGAAAGTTCTAAGAAAAATAATAATATTACTTGTACAGGTAAAATTCTTAGGTAGGAACAGGACTTTTAATATAAGCTTGTTTGGGTCTGCAGAATGCTTCTCTGGTAAAACTTGCATCACATAGTTAAGTGTTTATGTATTCTTTCATCGCCACGCATTGGCCCAGAAATACCGTATTTCCTTAATACACAATTGTTAATAAGTTCCTGATAACACGGTAACTAGCAATTTAAATTTTGCATCATTTACTATTTACAAAATGGAAATCCGTGTCTCGTTAGCCTCCCTTGCTTATGCGGTGTCTTGGTCACATCATGTGAGTTAATAAACTTTGTTAATTGCTGCTACTGGGATACTGTGGGTCCCAACTTTTCAAAGGCTTCATTTATAGACATTCGGTAGGACTCCTTGGACGAGGGATCGGCCCGTAGCAAGGCCTCTACCTGTACACAGGATAGCACAACACAGAAAGACGCGGACAAACATCCATGGCTTGAGTGGGATTCAAACCCACGGTCCCAGCGACCAAGCGGCACAAGGCCCACTCCTCAGACCGCGCGGCCACTGCTGACCCCGATTGCTACTACAGTTATTGCAAACAGTTAAAACGTAGAAGTTTTAAAACTAATTACGTTAATTATGCACAAGTTTTCAATAGGAGCATTTACGTGAAAAACCGCACTTCAAAATATTTCATAACAATTTAATGATACCCACAAAGGATCACTACACATCCGTATATTAAATTAAATTTAGTAACTGTGGCACATAACGAAACTCGTGAACCTGTGGATGATTGATTTCGCCCTTCTTTTTCATTCATGATTCTGTTTGGTCGAGCAATTGCAAAGACGTAAATATAGATTCAGGTCTAATTTTGTGGTACTATTAACAGATTGCCGTGGAATTTCAATAAACTAAAGAAGAAGAATCCTAAATTAGGATTATTCTTCTTCTTGAGTACTTCGGTGGCCCCAAGAGCTACTGGTAGGGCCTCCGTAGCCAGATTGTTCGAGAGGGAGAGGTCAGACTAAGACAGGTATCCTGGTCCTCCTGGTTGGGGGTTGGTCACAAGGCTAAGAACCTTGAACCATAAAAAGGAAGATGTTTCGAAACCTCGATCAAAGCCTCGGACAGACGGATCTAACAGACCGAATGGAAGAGGTGAATTGAGGAGGCCATGGACCGAATACGGACCGGAGAGCCATAGAAGAAGAAGAATCCTAATTTACAACCTGCTCACTAGTTGATAGGCAAGGATGAATGTTGTCCTAGGTCTGGAAAACACTTGACAACCCCCGGTATTATATTTGTATTCACCTTCCACATTCTCATATTTGATAGCGTAGATTCATTTTAAAACTTTGTGTTATGTGCGTAGGCTTTGTGCTGTGTAAAATGAGAATCAATTTTATTCTTCTCAGGACATGCGAACTAAATATAATGCAGAGAAGGTTTCCCCGACACCATCTCAAGAATCGTTGGTCTCGCAACACTCGGCGGAAGATCCGAATGCCGCGTTTGCTGATTTAAAAAGTGATGACCGAAGTCCATTTATGCCAAAGCCGTTCTGCACTTACACCGGTCACACGTCTGATCTGTTAGACGTGTCGTGGTCGAAGAATTATTTTGTTTTGTCGTCATCGATGGACAAGACTGTGAGGCTGTGGCATATATCA